TATCTAAAACCGCCGTTTCTCCCTCAAAACAAACTGACTCTGTTGTCGTTAAAATATCTCCTTAATCTCGTTGATTTTTATTGACTGACCAATCCAGCTAGATTAGCCTATGGCAGGTGCTAACTACGTTTCCATATATGCCAACTCTCACGGATTATCCGGAAGTCTCCCGGATACAGAGGTAATCTCCCGCTCTCGCGTACCAAAAACCACCATATAAAAGGAAGTTTGGATCAGTTGCCCAGAAAAAACTAAGATTTATGCTCCATATGTTCCAAAATTCCGAAATCATCTGGCTTCATATGCTTGTAGTACGGTTTCTGGCTTCATTTTCTTGCATGATGCATGTTGTTCGTTGCAAACAAATAGAAGAGAGTTTCTTCTTTGTTACCCCTATATAAGCGAGAGTCTGATTGGATGAGTAGTCAACCACTTGAAGTCCCTGATAGATAGATCCACATTTTTCCAACGAAATTGCTTGGGAGGGGGGGGAGAGGGGTGGGGAATGGTATTGGCAAGCTCGGTCGGGGGAGGGGGGGTGTTGGTCCGAAAAAAAATCTCCAGATTTGAGATCGCTAGAGGTTGACATCTCTGCGATTTGATAATTTTACAAACAAACCCAGTGATTAAAGATTATTATTTCATTTTGAATGTATCTAAATGCAAATGTATCAACTCGAAAACACGCTCATAACAAAAGCGATGGGCATTTCACGCAGAGGAAGATGAAGCAAATGTTTTCTTGCTTGAAAATGTTGTTTCAGCTTTCGAAGTATAAATAGCAAAGAATGCATTTATCAACGAAAAAATTAACGAAGAGTAGAAGACAGTTCGGACAGTAACTGGCGAAACATTCTTCAAGATGTCGCCTAAAATTGTTCGGCGCGTGAACCTTAGAATTACACAGCTTTAATGCATTCTGGGTATGCAGCCTTTACCTTTAGGGTACCGGTCGGGATAAATCGTCATCCACTGAATACGGATTTAATCCTTTACACCCTAACATCAGTATCCATCGTCTCTATACTCTTCTCTATACATTTCCTTTAGTACTGACGAGGAGAATTTGTTTAACAATCAAAGCTTCTTTGGTTGGCGATCATTTGCTTTATTCTTATGATCTTAATGAATGGTTCAGCTGTATGACTGTAAGGAGAAATTAGATGCTGGTCACTCTCAGGGTTTAAAGAGTTAAACCCATTCTATATATAAAACTTTTTGCCAGCTACAGCTATTTCCGATAGCCTACGTTATCGATATGTTTGGACGCGGGCCAAAAACTAGGTCCAGTGAATAGAGTCAACAGTGAATGGTAAACTTTCCTCGTACATTATATTAAAACGGCTCGGGATAAATATCTCTCTTTTTGTTTTCTTTCGTTTCCATTTTGCTTTGTTTATTTGCATTTTTTCACTTACAAACACACATGGCATAAGAAAAGCTGTACAAAGCTTTCGCGAGCATCATACATTCTGGTTTGCGAGACTCGGATGATAGATGCTTAATCGCAGTGTTCTCAAGGCGTTCATATACACAACAAATTTTATAATCCTGCGTTTTTACACACTGTTCTTAGATGACTTCATCTTATCTATTTTGGCGCTGTTTTAAAATTTATTTAAACGCAAATCATCACTGAACCAAGATGTAGCACATGGCTCTGAAGGAATGGAGATCACCGCAAGCTGTGCTGTCAAGACCAAACCCCATTACAGAGTCACATGTATTGCAGTCGTTTTCGTTGTTCCCAAGGATTCCGACTCTTGCTCTGCGATGGATGGTCTGGGTATTGAATCCTTCCTTATTGCAGTTGGGCTGGAGATGAGCCTTTGAATCAGTGAGCGCTATCCACTTGTTCCGACCCAGTGAAGTGGACCGATAATGACCATCAGCAACCAGAGAGTGAAGAGACGAAGCCTGGCTGGTGATAAGAGTGAACTTCATCTTTCCGTTAACCTTCATACCGAGACAGACCTTGGAAAAGGGTGTGTTCCAGTAGGTCGGTAGCTTAGTCTCTTGTGAATCGAAGCCAGTCGTTCCACCAGACGGGTTGAATTCGCTTTTGTCAGTCCAGTATCCCGAACTGAATAGAAAAGTGTTCTGCGAAATAATTGTAGTACAGTAAATAATCAATCCGATGCAAAGAGAAGCATCGAAAGAAGTAAGCAAGAAAATTGTGCATTGTGATTCAGAATCTATTAAAATTACGCGCCTCGCACGATTTCCCGTTTGAAACCGCCTCTTTTTTTATTTTGAGCGGGAAACGGAAGAGTGGAAGGATATTTGACCTGACCTGTGCCGCATCTGCGCAATGTTACATACTTCGCCATGATTCTTCTTCGCGAAAACCAAAACATTTTGGCTGTGGCACGAAGCTCGACCCAGACTTGTTCGAGATAAATGAAGTGAGACATTTGTGGTTAGAAATACATGAATTCTGTACAACAAATTAGTGAATGATGTATTTTCATGCAGACCCTTTGAAGGAAAATTTCACAACAAAAGGTAACAACCTACCTTGTTGCCATCAATCTTCATAACTGGTGTCCATCCACCATCTCCACATCCAAAATCTCCCATTTGACAGAGAACGGAAGTTGTTTTCGCGCCAAAGTGTAAGGTAACCAACTCGCTGGCGTTCGACCTATTCGGGGAGCCAGATCAGTCTTAACAACTACATTGATTTTTATTTCTCCGAAATTTATTAGATCCAATAATTCTTTAGTTGATGTTAAGTTTTACGAATGAAAAATGACAAGAATAAGCCCTGAATATTTCATTGAATGAAATTAACCTGGAAACTGAAAGGAGAAGATGATTTCTGACGTTAACTCAACAGATAACCCTTTTTTTAAAATTCTTAATTTGCCCTTTTAGTGTCTAAAGTAAGAATTTAACTTTATCACCGACTGCATCCCAATCTAGAGTTAAAGATTGAATTAAATATCGAGTTTTTACCTCGTCATTGATATAAAACAAGTCTCAAACCTACTTGTATGAATTGTATGCATCTCTACAGGACTCGAAGCCTAAGTATGAATTAAAGAATTGCGTGTTACAAATGACGTCTCCGGCATGCAGCAAGGGTAGCAGTTTTCTTTAAATCTTCAACTCTTATTCGCCTGACACCGTTGAAGTAATTAACAATTATTAACTGAAGTGACGGTCAATATCCATTCCTTACAGGGGATGTACAGTATTGCATCAAACGAGCTCGTCAGAGGAAGCCTTTGATAAATTTCAGTTGGGAAAGAGGTCAATTGTAGGACCGACGCAATGATCACTCATTGGCTATGATGTCGTTCATGTACTAAAAGCAAACTGCTCTTGGGACAAGGTAATCCCTGGATAGAGAGCCACATTTTTTGCAAATAAATGCTAATCCAACCTGGCAATTGTAAGTAACATCTAACCTTTCTCGCAGAAATCTCCAATGAAGTCTTTCTTGCAGAGGCATTCAAAGATGCCATTTTTGTAACTTGGTACACAGGTCCCTTCATTTTTGCATGACGAGGAAGAACAGGGAGACTGAGGAGAAGACGGAACATTTAATAGTTGAACAATGATAACATAAGGGTATGTTTGAAATAAAATTTGACTCATAATAGAGCCTACTGCTGAACAAAGGATATACAGTCCTGTCATGCGATAGAGTAAAGAGTAAGGTTTCAAATGAACCCCCCCTCGTTGGCTCAGGCCTTACAGCGAAGTTTTAGGCCTCTTAAGTACTTAACGTACACATTTACAATCTCTAAAGAAAATATGTAACCTTAATGACGAAATGATGGGAGCTCTTGTTTCCAAGGAGTTCAGTGGAGTTTCTATATTTGTCAGAAGAGAGTAGCTCGCACCAAAACTTTCCGTCCATTCCTCTAGACGCGGCCAGGTTCACAGAAAAACATGATGTATGACTGAGGCAATTAAATGCACAGTCAATGCTATCATCCACTGTGTAGGATTTAATTCTGGGGACGTTCAAATAACGGAATTCTTCTCTCACAAACACATGCTGTCG